TAGAACACTTGATCTTAGCCAAAAGGCTGAGAAGCGATAAGTCATAGAACAAAAATGTAGTTACAGGATCATAGGTAAAATTGAAATAGCAGGAATTTTTTAAAAAGCTCTAAAATAAGGCTGACTCTTATACATAAACAGCTGAGAAGCTGCTGAAATAGGGCAATTACCAGTTCAGACATTTTTCACAGCTACTCCCCTTTTCCACAGTGACAAGCAGAATGTGTTTTGGCATACTGAAATTATTTTTCACTTGAAAAGCAGTGAATTAAACAAACACATTTTTTGTGTATCCAAAACCTATAGAGCAAAATGTCAGCATTAGAAATTATTAACCTCATTGTCTACTTTGATTTCTTTTTTCTGCATTGGCTTGATTATCTTGTTTTCTGCCAATTTCCTCTGGCAAGCTACAATAATAAATCTATACAAAAGAACAATATAAGAGGGGGATATATTCAGGAGCAATAGCTCACTCCTTAGAAGAATTAATATTTTTATCATTATGGACATTATAACCCTGTAATTCTACAATTTCAATCACAATGAACCTAATTCAGACTCTAAAATCGAGGTAAGAGTAGTACTATATGTACAAATGAGTGACTGTAAAATATATCTAACAAAATTGACTTTTAATGACTACAATTAAGTGGTGTATGTTCACATCATTGTGCAATAATCGCCATGCCTAACACAGAAGAAATTATATACTATGTGGGCTTTGTCCGTTAGCATAGTTTCACGTTACTCATGGAGTTCAGTACTTCATTCCCCTTCATGGCTGAATACTCTACTGTACGGACACACACATTTTGTTTAACCACTGCCAGCCGATGGACGTTTGGGTTGTATTACCTGCAGGACATGATAGTCTATTTTCACACAGGTTTTTTATTGAAAGGCCTATTTTCAATTTTCTCAGGTACACAAGCAGGATCACTGGATTACAGGGAAAGCCTACTTCTGTTTCTTTGAAGAGCTACTAACCTACTTCCAGAGTGGCATATTGCACGCAGTGCACGAAGGCTCCCAGTCCTCTGCGTCCTCTTCAATGTGAGGGCTACAGATACTGAAATATTGCTTTTGTTGCACATCCTAAAGTTTAGTACGCAGTATTTTTGCTTTCATTCATCTCAAGATACGATTCCTTCTATGGATCTTATTGAGGTGTGTTAATTTTGTGTGTGTGTGTGTGTATATATATATTTTTTTCCAGCTTTTTGTGTTACTGATTTTTAGATGACCCCTACTGCCGCTGGAGATGCTCTGCATGAGTTCATTTTAAAACGTGAGATGTCTCAAATTTGACCTATAGTGAATATTGTGATTTTGGAAGAATACGTATTGTTAGTGGAGGGTTACATATGTGTTATTAGTACTTATTGGCCTATAGCTTTATTGTGTCCTTTATTTGCTATCTTATTTTAGTTAACATTTGCATTGATTCTCTATTTATTCAATTTTCACTCTTTGAATGTAACGAGACTCTTATAGTCAATGTACAGGTGAGTCACATTGTTAAAATCCATTTTCCCAGTCTCTGCTTTTTATTATATACAAAGTAATTAGTGACAAGAACTGAGTTGTCAGTCTGCAATGTTTCTGTATCTTTTTCTGTTGCTCAATTTTTCCATTACTGCTTTTAGTTTTGTTTTCTATATACAAGTTGATTCCCTTCTCATTTCCTTTCTGCATAATTTAAGTTTTCTTGTCAGGATTATAATTTACAATAATCCAAACACTGAAATTACAATAATCCACTTTAAATTAAAAATTTAAATTTTTATAGCAGAGGAAACTTCTGCTCCTATATCACATCTATTCACAGTTATCACAAATTCTACTACCCAGCTGTTTACAATAGTGACTTAGACTTCATTACCTGCCCTGATTGGACTAAGTATCCAGATCAGCAAGAGGTAAAAGTGCGCATCTTCTCATTGCCTTTCTAAGAATGCATTCTGTTCTGGGTATGGATACACCATTCTACAGTCTACAGTGTAGAGTGGAGCTTCATAAAGGCCTTATTCTCCAATGTCACTCTTCATCTTTTCCTAACCTGTTAGCTGTGTGTGTGTGTGCGTGCGTGCGTGTGTGTGTTTGTGTGTTTCCCCAAAGGTAATCTTCTACCCCAAGCAGTAGGGGCTTGTTCATTCACCTTCCAAGGCTTTCAACAACTCTATGTAGCCATAACTTTTTCAGGAACAAGAAACCCACACAGAAATATAGGCTGCCATCTTCAAATACCATTGCTAATAGGGAGGAGCCTGACAAGAGGGCAAGATAAAATGCCAGTAAGTCATCCAAGGGTTTCAGGTGCCTTTATGTTGATTTAAGCGTTTGTTTGGTTGCTGTAAACTTCTATTTTTCAGACTTTCAATAACATCGATACTGACAGTTTTCACCAGTTTTTTTCTACTTTCTACAGAGGAGTATGTCCTTGGAGTTTCTTCTGTCATTTTTCTTGACATACGTGCAAAAATTTTAATGGAAATAAATATATCAACATTTGAGTGAATGGAACATGATTTTTCCAAGTCTGAGTCACTGTCAAAATATTGTATATTTAGATTCTCCTGATATATAAATACATGCATGTATTTATAATGTGTGTACATGAAAGGAACATAGAAAAGTTCATACATAACAGAGCTCATAAGTGAGATAATGGAATTCTGAAGCTAATGGATGAATACTTATAACCTTTACGTGTGACTAGCTGTAACAGTTTCTTATTAGAAAAACACTATTAGATATATTGCTGCTGTGGCCCAGAAGAGCTTCTTATTGAAGCATGAAAAGTACTTTAATATTTTAAACTTAATAAGTTATGTGGACTCTGAAGAATTTTAAGTTTACAAGGGTTCATTCACATATTTTGTCTTTAAATGTTCTAACGTGGTGTCCCTACCAATTCTTAAAACACATTATTATCGCTGACCTCAAAATAATGATATGCCAATTTGTATTCAGAATAAACACTCCTTTCATGTACCCATGGGGAGATCCTCATAATAGTAAGAAAGGGAACGCCTGTCAAGCTCTGTGGTTAGAGCAAAATCTAATTTTCCCAAGTCACCAGCCTACTGAATTTTAAGTTAGTAGGAACATTACTTTATGGATAAAAGAAAATTACAATAAGCACACATCACTGATGGGCTTATTCACATAAATACCCAGTGCAAGATTGAGTATGCCGAAGAAAATGTATAAAAAGATATTTGTCAGATGTTCTTATAAAAAGGAACTACTTCTAATGGGATATCATATAAGGCTTTTTCAATCTAAGCAGAAAACTCTAAGTGGAGACCGTTAACCATATAATTCATTTTATGAATTTTCAATACAGTGAATGTGGTTGAAAAGTGACACTGCAGAATGTACCATGCCAGATATAAATAAATTCTAAGTGTATAGCAAAGAAGATATCATATATTATGTATGTAATTTTGCACATGCTTCCTTCTGTAAGAAAACTTTATGTGAACTACTTTTTGTAGTTTTTGCCTATAGCACTTTCCAGTAATGATTTATGTTGAGATAATTTATTTCAACTATAGTAGTTTTTCTACTATAAATGTTTGTAGGTAAATTATAATTTTGTAACCTATGAAATTTTAAAAATTATCATTGGAATTACTTTTCTGGTTCAGAGGAAATTACAAAATATAGACTGGAAAATTTTTACTAATACAGGATATGGAAGTACTTACTATCTTGGTCATAAAATCCGAGAATGACCTGAGTCTGATCATGATTAAATATGATTGATCTTGGTAGAGAGATGTGTTTTATTGATCAGTCCCTCAAATGCCTACTGCACTGAAAGATAGGAAACCTAATGTCTCTTTCTTACTAAAATTTACTCTTAAACTCTATTTGTATTCTATAGACTTCTGAATGGACTTCAGGAAGTATAAAAATATTAAGTGGATTAGGAGTTATTAATGCATTAAGAAGTACAAGTGAAGTGCTACCTAGGAACAGGCATTAAATAATTATGCGTGCCTATTGCTTTTTCATAAATGCCACTTCAATTTGAATTCATCTGTGAACAGAAACTAGGGAAATTAATGTTTTTAATAATTATTTGGGGAATATATGTTAAGGTTAATATAGTTCTGAATTTTTAGGTAATTTTCAGTTTTGAAAAGATAGCTTTCATCCTGCTAGCACATACAGTGCCTTCAGATATAGCTTGACAAACATGCCCTGGTAGGTTTTTGTATTTCCATTCTTCATTGAAATTCATAGGTACAAAATAAGTAAATTCCATGTATATACACCTGGTTCCTTTTTGAGACTGAATAGCTGGAATACCCAATGGAGAGAATGTTCTGTGATCTATTATTCAGATCATAATGAAAATTCAATAATAAGGCTTAAAAAAAGAAAAAAATATTAACCTGAATGAAGACTTATTTTTCCTATATCCATCTTTGGGTTGTACTCAGAATATAAAAACACAGTTTTAAGAGTTTGAAAGTCTGATTTTTGCCAGAAAAAATTTTGTATTTTCTTATTTACGAAGCTGTTGTGAGGAACAAATACAATGTTTGTAAATGTGCTTAACAAATCAGGATATAAGCATAACAATTGTTACATTCCTATACCTTTTCAAAAAAGCCTTACCAAGTCATCAACTCATTTCAAAAATTAACCTTTTTTATGAATTCAGGGAATGAGGCTTTAATGGCAAGCTGTTTCCACAAAACAAAAGGAAAATGGCCCTAGTGTGTTGTGTTAGGTTTGCTGTTATGAATCTAGATTCCCAGATGGCACTTGTAATAATGGAGGATGCTAATTCATAGCTGTGGTATGCTGCTTTCACTGCCTACTCCCTTTAAGGCATAGTGATTAAGTGGATATGTGCTTTAATTTGGACCCCAGAAAGATTTTCCTCTTTCTTGGTTAGGCACCCACATCCAGGCATTATTCACCCAGCAATTTATCCTACAAGCCTTGTTCTAGTTAGAATTAATAAGAACAAAACACTACTTGTAACAGTGCACGTCCTTTATAACTGAAACTGCAATTAAGTATAATTTCCCATACATGACATTTTCATGCATATGCCTTATCCCTGTACAATACTAATTATTCTTTAACATACATTCCATAGGATTCCTTTACTAATGAGTGAACAGTTCTAAAACATGAATTCGTAGTTACATTTGTCATTTATTCCAATCCTACCACATACACTGAATATGTTTGAAAAAACATTTTAATGTTTCCTTTGCAGATTACTGAATGTTACTATCCATTTCTATAAATTAAATCGACTAGGAAAACCCACAGTTTAAAAAATGTATACAAGGATAAACTAACTTATCACAAGGAACAGAAAAAGAACTCAAGAATTCAAAATGGTCAGGAACAGTATCTTCATGGTAAATATTCACTTTATGCAAATCCCATTTGGCTTCATTTAATTAAAAAGCTGAAAAAGAAAGAAAATTATTATGTACTGAACATAAGGAAACACAATATGCAAGTTCATGTAAATGTAACAAAACTATTAATATATTAATTCACCTAAGTGTTACTTTTCTACTAGGGCAGGATTCTGAGGCAGGCGGCGGAACCACTGAGCCAAGTCCCTGGCCCCATGGGAAATATTTGAAACTGGCCCTATAATGGAATCAAGCTTTTCCAGTAAGAAAAAGTTAAAAGGTGAAGATATGATAATTTGAATTACAGTGTTTCTATACACACCTCTGGCATTGTTTAGAGCAAGAGTTAAATGGTAATGTAGGAGAAATAAAGGGAATGAAACTGAAACATATTCAAATTTGAATGTCATAAAGAAAATATTGTTTTAATTTATACTTCATTTGAGTACACAAAACAATTATTTAATCAACTGGACTTTTGTTGCTTATTTTATAATTTCCTTATATGGAACAGCTAAAAAGAATCTCTGCATAAATGAAATTGGTATTAGGTTTTGATGAAACATTTATGTACAGATGCATTACATATAGCACTAAGAGAAAAAGGTATCTATTTTATTATTTTTTAAACTTGTCTCAGCAAAGACTTAATTTATAAATAAGAATCTACTTAACTTTTGTAAGATGGTAAGACAACTTAAATAGTGTAGCACTGATTAAGTCTTTGATGTTTATATTTTCCTGCCGACCTGTAGCAATGTCCTTTATCAGTCTCCATAATATAAGGCAACTTTTCAAGGCAAAACACCAATTTTAACACTGAAGCAAAACTGAAATTAATGTTACTTTGCTGAAAAACTATATTGTTGGAAAAGTGTTCAAACTAGGAAGTTTAAAAACTGGATGTTTCAATTATAATTTTCTAGGCAAATATTGCTTTGTCTTTCTGAACCTCGGTTTCCTCATTATTGAAAAGAACATTTGTTTTACATAATTTTCAAAGTTCTTTCCAGTACTACCACTTTATGAATGCAATACTATATCTGAATGTAAATATATAAGAATATAATTTATATAAAACTATATAAAATATATACTTTAGAAATACATGAAATAAAATACAGAACGTATTAATATATAATTATAGTATATTAGTTATACAATTACAAGTTTGATGACTTATTTTTTCAGGTACAGGGATCGAACTCAGGACCTAGTGCTTGCCAGGCAGGCACAGTGCCACTGAGCTACACCCCTGCCGTGTACAATTACAAGCTATAGGCTGAAAATTACATAATAAAAACAATAATTACTCTGTATGTCTGTTTTTAAGGAACTGTTAAAAGATAGCAATTCTATGCTGCTATCAGGATGCAGTCAGATACGGCTTTAGCTTTTCCAGGTGAGCCACGACTGAAGTACCAGAGTGGTCACCTCCACGAAGCAGCACGGCTGCAGGAGCCCTGTCAGAGCCCTGTCAGAGCCCTGTCAGAGCACTGGCACAGATGCTACAACGACACAAACTTCAGCAACACGAGTGGCAAAACAGACATGTTCACTGGCAAGGAAACTTGTCAGTGTTTTCTGTTCTCAAGTATAAACTTGGCCTGAAGTTAAAGTGAACTAAAGAATGAAAAAAGAAGCAATCATAAAATATTTTAAGCTGCAATTAGAGCTGGAAAAATCAGAACTTGGAACTGAAGACTTGTGACTTTTTGAAAGACTGATCTGAAAATTTCAAGATACAGAGCAGCAGACTTTTTAATTATTGCTTAAAACACAGCTCTATTAAAGCAGTCAGATGGCCCCTTTTGATAATTTTATAAGCTTCTAAATTTTTATAGCTAGAAAAGTTTTAAAAAGTTCTACAATATTTAGGTGTTGCTATTTTTACAGAGTAAAAGGATCTTTGTGACTGCATTCCTAATGTAAAAACAGATTAAGAATTCTTCGTATGCTATCTGTTCACTATAGGGGTTTTTCTAAACTGGAATCTTCAGAACTCGTTATAAGAATCATTTGTGTATATCTCAATATTACATGACAGATATATTCAATATTGAACTGAGTGCCTTCTATTGATTGTTCTGCAATAAATGATAAAATGAATTGAGTACTTAGTCTTTTACACTTAGGCTTCCTTTCATAAAAATGAGTTATAAAACTTGTTTACAACTATACTTTCAAGATATTGGAAAGACTTGGAATACAAAAATGTCAAAAATGTTTTGTTTAAATGTTTCTTAGAAAAATATGAAGTTATTTTCCTAGGCAATCATCAGGTTTCATGTTTTATTTTTATTTTCATTACATTAATATTAAACATCCAATATATGTTCCAATATGAATGTTTTATATTTATATCCTCATAGGATTAGTTTCTCATTTCTATCTACTTCTCAATTCTAACATATCTTTTTCTTTTCACATTTACCTGTCTAGTAATTTTGATGTGCAACCTAAAAGTGTAACAGCTCTTACAGATTTATGCTTCCTATTGAGCTTGATGTTTTTGTTTCTCACATGAATAAATGTTTTTGTGTATTATACTTAAAAAACTGTCAAAAACATCAAAGACTGATAGATTTCTCTTATTTGAGCTTTTCAGTATTGTAGTCTGTTTCCTGATGGAGCAAGAGACATCTTGGGTACTACTAACACCTCCTGTGCGGGCTCCATTTTACCTCTTCTGTGGCCAAAGCTATTGTAGTTTGTAGGAGGCTGTTTCCACACAACACTGACTACTGTGGCTGGCTCATCTTGAAGTGCCTTTGTGCATGTTCAGCTTTACCCAGGGCAGTGACGTAAGACAGACGTTAACTGGCACAGGCAGTGAACTGTATGCGTGGAGATTTAAAGCAGGGCAGAGCCAGCAGAGATTTCCACTTTCTCCTAACCCAAGGAAAGCTCTTGTATACAAAGAAGAATGACAAGACGTTCTCACACCATCTTTCTCTCTAAAGCTAACTAACTCTCTCATATCTGTAATTTAGATAAAAATGTCAGTCTTGTCTTACTGCGGAATGATGCTTTAAAAGTTCATTAGCAAGTTTATTTAAAATTCAAAGCAAGATTTTCTAGAAACACTCCTAAATTCAGGCCGAAAAAAGTCAGTTTCAATCAGCATTCAACAAAGAATATATATATATTTTTAAAGAAACAGTAAGAATTACTGAACTCTGTGTTCAGAGTATTGTGCATAGAAGGTCATTGCAGGAATGGGATGATTCAAAGTCATGGTCTTTGTTTCTTTTATCTGAAGGACAGAGAGGTTTAAGAAAATGAAGTATAGCACCGAGATGTGATGGTATAGGATGGTGAGTCAAAATATTATGAGAATTCAAAACCAATCAAACAAAGCAAAACACTGGCTTTGAGAACAAGTGAAATGAACGGGCAGCAGCCAACAGGAAGGAACTAAACGCAGGAAGGGACCACAGCCTGAGAATTCATGAACTCCGGTTAAACCGGGGTCAGCACCTCTGCAAAGAACCAAAAGGTGAATGTTTTCAACTTTTTTGGTCACAGGTCTTTGTTAAAAGTACTTAACAAAAGCAGCCATGTACAATATATGAATACGAATCTATTTCAGTAAAAGTTTATTCAAAGATAATACAATTTAAATTTTATACAATTCTCACATCGGAAAAAATTTTTCAGTGATTCATAAATATAAAATCCATTTTTTTTTTGCACATGCAAAAGTTGCTGACTTGTGCACTAAGCCATATGGTACAGTGAAGGCTATGCCATCATACATAAGCCCAAATTAAAAAAAAATTTATAGTGACTCATGCAATGACAATATTGTATACCTAGTAAAACCATATGTATTCTGAAAGAATAGTTAATGGTATAAAAATATGTTCATGAGATATAGAAAAACCAATTTACGAAACATGAATCCTGTAATCTTTCCTATTTTACAAGCTAAACTGCTGACATTTCATGACCTGGATGTTGGGATCATGAATGCATCTTATTTTGCATCTTCTAGAATGAATGTATATTAACTCTTCCTTCTTCCTTGTTAGGTCTGAATAGATCTTGATGAAGAAGTGTTGTAGAAAGTACGTGTCTTACAATACTTCTGCCATCACGCGGAAGTAAGTGATGGGTTAAGCAGAACCACGGCTAGGTGTGGAGAATATATTAGCAGGCCAGCTGACAGCCTGAAAAGATACAATGTATATATATGAAGGTGGCAGCAGTAGAAACAGAAAAGTAGTGGAGACCAAAGTGAACTAAATAACATAACCAGGACCAAGATACGGAATAGAGACGGGGATGGGACGAGTATAAAGTGACTCCAAGGTTTCTGCAGGGTATGCCTGTGAGGATGACACTGTCTTAGGGAAAATGGAGCTAAGGGAAGAGAAACAGTTTTGGAGGCAGAGATGATGTTTGGACATATTGAGGTTAAACTGTTAATGCAGTATGAGTGTCTGGTTCTGGATCTCAAGAAGAAAGAGCAGGATTTCATAAGTATATATAAGACTGAGAAATAATCTAAGATAAAACAGATGTACGTATCATGTTATAAAATTCAGGTATATAAAGTTTCATCTAAAATGTCAGAACTATCAGGTTAAGTGAATTGGATTTGGTCAATGGGTGATTACTAGCGAATATATCAGAGGATGTTTATTTTTTTTTCTCACCCTTTTAGATATATGGATTTAGTAAAACAGTGGTGTGTGGTTTGTTCTGGCATTTACTTATTTTGAATTAATTATTCCATCTGTTGCTGATGTTTTAAAAAAACAGAATATACAGTGTTCTTGAAAGAATGCATTTTTTCCAAGTATGAATTGGTTAAATACTCCACTGAGATCTTCTAATGGACAGAATTTTCTTGTGCACTATTCTTATTTCACATGCTCAAAATGAGAAAGAAATCAGTGCAATCTCGAAGTTACATAATGTCACTGTCTCACATAAAGAAATCAGTTATGTGGCTAAGGGACAGCTCCTCAGATTTCATTCTGGTATTCCCCTCCTGCCAAAAAACAACAACAAAAAAAAAGAGAAATGGGAAGAGAAAGGCCTTGCTTTGCTAAGTATAGCAAGGCTGTAGGTAGAATTTTCACTCCAGCCCTTGTGGTTAAGAGGAGTCCTGGGATTCAGTCAAGATTTTTTTTTAGCCTTTATATTCATAAGTGTTAAACAGGAATGCTAGGGACAAGTATATTATGGTTGCTAGACAGATATCTTTAGCCAGAAGTCTTGGGGCTATTTCTTTCATAAAAGATTACTGAACCAAGAAAAGTCTTCAAATCTGAAAGAAATGGTCAATTTTAAAGGTCTAAAGAAATTCAAACTTTTACTATGAATGAGAAAAAAAGATCTTTGGGAATAGAAACTTTATCTGTAGCTACCTAAAGTAATAGCTGTCCAGCCCTACTATTGCTATGGCCAGCATGCTATATGGCCCGCACGGAAAGGCACACATGGTTAAGGGTTTTGACAACATGACTAATAATAATTAGAAATGGTCAGAAACACAGATACAGGGTCTGGGAAAAAAAGAACAAAAGAAAAAAAAAGCTGGTATGTGAGGCTGTAAAGAACAAAGAATGCATTTGGACCACAGGAGCTTCCCACGACTTCCCTGCTTCAGATAGATGGCTGAATGCTGTCTGAAAGTTGTCCTCCCACAGTGGAAATGAGCCTCTAGAAATCTCAGACTCAGCACATATGTTCCCTAGGCTTGAGGGTTAGGACATGCAAAGCAAAAGCAAGAGTCTAGCTTCTGTGCTTTCTCTATCAAATCACTTTAACATCCCTACAATTCATTTCTGAAATTATCAACTTGATTTAAAAAGAGGTTTTCAATAAATTAACTGCTTGGAAGACTTATGCTTTATTTATATTAGATAGTTATATTGTTGGTAGGAAAAGGGATTACACTACATTTTTCCTAGGCAGAAGTAAGTATATTCCCATTGATTATTTTAGCTTTGCACTTCTTCTCTAAAGTAGTGAAAAAGTAAAAAAAAAATTATGCTTAAGGGGACAGCATAATTTGTATATTATTATTATTATTATTATTATTATTATTATTATTATTAGTAGTAGTAGTAGTAGTAGTAGTAGTAGTAGTAGTAGTAGTAGTACCAGAGATCAAACTCAAGACCTTGAGCTTGTGAGGCAGGCAGCGGCACCACTGAGCTAAATCCCCGGCCATGTATATGATTATTATCATAGAAAAAATACATTGTATGCCAAATGGTTTATTCCAGGGGTCAAAGGCTATTGGTGATTTATGCTGAAGACTTGTCCCAGATAACAGCTTAAGACTGAGCAACGGGATTTCACAATTATCTTACATTTCTAAAACAGTAGTTTATCATAACTTTTCTTACTTATGATAAATATTATGGTCTTTATTTGAAAGATGAGGAAAACTGAGGCTCAGAGAAGATTAAAAGACTTGCCTGAAGTTATAGAGTTTTTAAGTGCCATGGTCCAAATCACATCTTCTCACTCAAAGTCCAGATCACTTTCCAATACACCACAATGAAATACAATAATATGGAAAAAATAATCCTTAAGATTCAATTTCCATTTGTACAGTATTATCACAAGATTTAGCACTGTATTCTCTATTTAGATAAGGGGATAAACAATGTTGCCTTTTCTCTGAATCATCTCTAAATCTTTAGATCTTTATGCCATTCTGCAAAGCTGGGACTCAACATGAGAAGAAAACACCGAATTCTTGTCAACGATCTGTATTGAGAATGATCACCAGAACATTTACACATTATTTTTCTATTTTTACAGCTCAGGTTTGTGTTATCTTCCCTAGAGTCAAAAGAAGTATATCTAAGATGTGCAAGCAAATATGGTTTTGCTACACACCATACATCCCGGGATATTCTGTCTTATGTGCTTGTTCACCATCATGGTTTTTAAAGTACCCCCTTCATTTCTAGTTACTCTTTTGTACTTTTCCTTACTGAAGGTCATTCCACTTTTTATTGCTATTAAACATTTCTCAAAATAATCAAACATATCATGAACTAAAAGTATAAGACAAGGGAAGACACTTTATGTATCCATTTCTATACACATCTAATACATATATCCATTTTTAATTTGATGGCAGCCAGCTCAGAATCAGGTTTCTGGAATAACTGTCTTTCTGTACGTGCCCTTAGCTGTGTAGAACAACCTGATGACTCCAGGGATTGCCACAGATCACATTTTCTGGACTTGTGTAAAGTGGCAAACTAGTACACTTCATCTTTTTCAAAGTTCCCCTGCATTTACTGCTAGTAGATAAGAAATGTATTTGAGTTTGCAGATTCAATTCACAAGTATATGATGAGCACCTACTATGTGCACTGCACTTTGTAGATACAAAAGGTATATCTGTTAAGGACTTTTACCCAAGTATATTACAGTTTTCTACAAGGAAAGAAAATTAAACACATTAAACAACTGTATAGGAAGACTTGATGAAAAATATAATGCAGTAAATTGCTAATGAATAACTGAGTGCTAACGCCGCTGTTACAGATGAAGTGAGGTGAAGTAATTAATTTATGTTGTGAACTCATTAGTGATGAAAAATTATCCCCCAAAATCCTGAAGTTCACAGAGGAAGAAACAGGTTTAATAAAGTTAAATATGTTGGTAAAAGATACAGAAGTAACAGACAACTCTTAACAACTGAGTCTCTCTCCACTACTTTAAAGATGATGAAAAAACTAACTCTAAGTCATAGTGAGATGGTCAGAGTCATATCCAGATTTATCTAACTGCAGTCACAGCTCTCAGCTATTTAATATAAAAAATAATTAAAACCCAAACGGGAATGAGTGACTTCTGCTTTAATTACTGATATTTTCCCATTATATTTATATCCTACTAACTCTAAAAGTCAGTTAAAGAAATTGTAGAGACAGTGGGGAATCAAAATGATAGAATTAATACAGAAGGTTTCATGTTATTCCCTTCTAAAACAGACTTGATTGCCATAGATGTTTTCATAAAAGTCTTCTGAAGCAATTTTTGAGTCACATTTGCCCATGGAAAATTCTGAGAAGGTAATTACCTATAAGTAAAGACTATTATGTCCCTGCTAGCACTTCGTTCTTCCTAGAAATTGGGGAAGAACTAAAGTTAATTTTTATTCAATATATAAAATGAATTCAATATTATCAATGGAATAAAATTTCTTCTGAACTATGGCTCAGAAGGTAATTAAATCATATTCAAAAGAATCCTCTAATTTCACTGGTAGTTTCAAGGGACTCTGGAGCCCAATTAACTTCATCAAAGAGTTCAGGGAAAATCTGTTCTTTACTCAACAGAATTATGCAAATATAAAACAAAGCTATTTAAAGTGCAGTATAAAGGGGAAAAAAACCTGTTTAGAGAAAAGTAGATTAAGTATACATGAATTTAAAATATTCATATCAGAATTAATGATAATAATTAACATCAAACCTATATTGAATAATTAAAAATAGGT